CTGGTACAGGACACCACACCTCCTCCGCCAAATAGACCCAGACCACTCTGGCCTATGCTGGAGATGCAGACGAGAGGAACACATCTGGGACTGCACAATGATCAACCCATATTGGGATAGGATGCTAGAGAAATTTACAGACGCACCGCCCCCCCCTGGAACCGGCAGCAATGCTCCTGCACCACACTTCTGTTCCCCACTCTAAGTACAAAAAATCCATGACCATTCGAATACTTAATGTAGCCAAACGAGTGCTCCCCCAATTCTGGAAACAAAACGTAACACCCCTGCTCATGTCCTGGTTCAGCCTAATGGAGGAACTCAGGACAACAGAGGAACTGACTATGACGGCCAATACTACCCCAACAGCCTACCTGGACATATGGACGTACTGGATCCTTGAGACAGCAAAGGAAGGATTCCAACTGGAACTCAGATCCGACGGACACCACAACACAGACAGATAGGTCTCACAATACACACTCTGGACGACAACAGACAGTTGACCAACCCAGACCCCCCCCCTACACCTGACTATCCTCCCCCCCTGTAAAAAACTAGATGAATGGATGTTCAATGTAGAATCTTCTTAATTTCTTCTTATCTTCAGTTGATTGATATATATACGTCTTTTGTATATATATTCTTGGGCCAAATGCTCGCCACAATAATATATGTCTATATTATTGAAAAGTAGTAATACGCAATCTGACTTACGGTTTCTTCAGGTTTATTCTTAGTTACGGATACATAAAACAACAAATGATGTTACAGGATAATGGACATTCAACAGCAGATGGTAATTGCTGGACTTCTGATGGGAGAGTTACATCGTTGTACAGAGCCAAGCCAAGAGTGAGACCGACCTCGTGTCCCTCTGTTACTATATAGATGTGCTAATACTAACGTCAGCATATAACTCTAGCCATATAAGGACAAGACCCCCACATCCACATTCCAGAGCTCTCGGACAAAGAAAGCCTTGTGACTTATTGATACCATCTGTTACTTATGTCAATCCACACATCCATATATATATATCAATAGAAACATAGAATATGCAATATTCTACATTCCCTCTGTTTATGGTTTGTTTTAAAACCATAACACAATGTATATAACCTGTCCATTCATACATCACTTGTATCACATTCATTGAGCATAGAACAAGATGAAGTCACAACTTTCTATTATATGAGAGTTCTTAGAAGGTCGAGTTTCTATCCCTCATACTGCTTACTTTACTTCAAAACTCCCTCTGTTTCAGCTATGTATTGATATCCATATCCATGTTACATCATAACTACTTGAACATAATATTTACATATAACAATAATAAATGAATAAAATACAATATTTACAAATGTTGATCCAATAAACAATGTAAAGCAATGAGAAAGATCTACCTGCTCTGGTACAGTCGTATCTTTGTAGATAACAAAATCCAAGATCGGAACTTTCTAAATAATAATAACTGTGTATCACTATCATATTCCTACAGACACATATAGCATAGTATTTTCATTCTCAATACCTGATATTATTTAAGTACTAATACATGTATTACTATAATATCCTGTCCAATTATATTTCCATGAATCGTATGGTTTCTAGCAACTTAAAATCTTTATCATTTGTATTCATGAATTACATTCCTATACCATTAATACCACCTAGTGATGATTGTATCAGTACTTTACAATCATAGTATTTAATTTGTATATTCAGTAGGCTCTCACTACCTGAGTCTCATTCAAATGATGTGTTATCAACCATGACGTTCTATAATAATTCTTCAAATAATGTTCCTGGTGTTGACAATACTTATTGTCCTAGAAATTCTCCACCCAGAAATCTTTCTAACATAGATTTGTTTTTGTTTACATAATTATAATTTTCACTAAAATTCCACCTTGTAGTAACAAACTTTTCATTCCATAGAAACATAGTTTACTTTAAAATAACTTGGAAAGAATAATTTAAATTAATTATCATCACTCTTCATTAGCATTGTGATGACTTATTAATGTAATACATTTTAAAAGCAGGATT